CTCTGCCGTGTGCCGCGGGAGGGTTTGGGCTCCTGCGCGATGCCTGGTGCTGAGGGGAGGGGTCTGCATGGCCGGGGCTTACCGGGCGGGCCGGGGAGGGTCGGGGCTTTGTGGTGGAGGAAGGAAGAGGAGCCCTTGGAAAGCTTGCGGCGTTGAAGGTGCTGTCAAACTACTGTGCAACTTTGGCTTTGTGGCATCCAGCAGCGTTGGCATGGCTCTAGCTCAGGGCCAATGGTAACCACCATAAGGGATCTCCACCTGGTGGCAAGGTTGAGTCTTGCCAGCGCCGGGTCCCTTCTTGCGGGCTGGGCTCTCACTAGGAGCGCTGCTCCTTGCGAGCTCCAAGGTTGCCTCCCAGCGCAGAAGCTGTTACTCCTATGGCAGAGGGACGTGCAGATTAAGCTGATTGGACGGTCAATTAAAAATATTTTCCTCTTGAGTGGAGGTGGTAATAGGTTGGCTCCTTTCTTCCTTCAGGCTACTCTTCTAGATGGGGAGGTGGGCAATTGATGCCCATGCTTGTTGTGTGGCTCTTTATCTCCTGACTAGTGCCCTAAAGTAGGCCCAAGTGTCGGATCGTGGCTGTGTTGGGGAACTATGCTTAAAGGTGATTGGACATTATAGTCCTAAACCGCATATGGCAGTTCAGGTCCTGAGTCTGGTCTCAGCTGGCTGAGATTGTTGCGTCCAGTCCTCCTACAAGGAGGGAGAGGGGAAGCATCTGCCTAGTTGCTCCTCAGCTCCTGGTCGTGTGGATTGCTCCCACATCTGCTCTACGACGGACATGGTTAAACAGCTGTAGTATGAAGGACCAAGCTGGTGGGCACTGAAAACTGCTAGTGCACTGTAGTCAGAAATCATAACAAGATATACGCAGTGGAGGGAAACTCCAGTCCACAGAGTTAGTCTGAGTCTTCCCTCAATTTGAGTTAGTGGCCCCACCAGCTCTCTCCTACTAGTAGTTGCAGTTGCCAGGGTCTGGGGGGAGTCTAAGCTAGTTCCTGTATGAGCCCTGGCAAGGTTTCCCAATCACTGTTGCAAGCTTTTCTGGGACTTGGTGTCAGATGACAGCACACAAGTGTCACATGTTTTGAGGCTGCCCAGACAAGTGAGCTGACAACTTGCTTAAGGGGCTGAGACAAACGGGGACAGCAGAAGTATGGAGAAAGCTAGTTTAACTTGGGTGGTCACTGTAATGGTGGTGCTCCTTCACTCAGCACACGTGGCTGCTTGAGCCAGCTCCTAGTAAGTAGCTACCTGGGGAACAGTCAAATAAGATGTTAGCCATGACAGGCTGTGAAGTTACTGGTTGTCTACATCCTTTGCCTGAGTCTTAACCCAAGGAGGTGAAGAGGTGTGAAGGTGCTTCTAGTGTATGAGTAGCACATGAAGAGAAACTTTGAATTAGCAGCTAATTGATGCTGATCTAAAAATCATTACGTGTCTAGTGACTGAAGCTGCAACTGAGCTATGACTCTGTTCCTGCAAGGAGCAGTGGATGAGACCAGTAGTGTCATGACTAAATGGCTACCTGGTGTTGAACAACTGTGCTTGGTGTAAGACAGGGGACCGCAGTTAGTTACTGGCTGGAACTAACCTTTATCTTAACTGCAGCTTACTCCAAGTGGCCTTTAGTGTTTGACAGACATCTTCAGAAGTAGCAACAGATGATGACCTTTACCTTTGTGCATCTGTGTGGGTGTTGGGTGCTGTCCAGTTCTTTACTTGCTTGTGGGCTAACAAAAGTAGTTGTTTTGACACTTCACTTGGTACCAGCTACAGAAGCGATGATACTTTCTTGGAATGGCTTGCTGTAGGGGATGTAGTTGTGAAGTTATAGCTGTTAACTCCAAGCTCAGTGTGTGTTTTGTTTAGCCTTGTATGTAACTTCCCTGTAGCATTTGGTCAAAGTTGATGTTACGTTTGTAAGTCCCAATGAACTGGGCAGTTTTAGCAAGCCTTTTCTGGTTATTCTAGCTTGAAATAGAGTAACGAAGGGCTGTGGAGTTATTTTGGGATCTCCTGAGTGGCAGGCCTAGTCTAGTATCTCTAGTATGCTATTTTGGGAAAGGTTGATTGTTCTTATTCTGGAAGCCTGGATGAGAATGTCTCAAAACTAGCAGGAGTCAGTCACCGTATATTTTAGGTGGTAGTACAGTAATGACTGGAATAACGTGTGACCAGGGCTTGTGAGCAGAAGGCTAATTCTGTTAGAGGTTACTAGACAACAAGGTGATGTCAGGTTTGGAGCAAGCTGGTAGCTGGGGCTTCTGCACCCTGTCTGAGCTGGCTGCAGGTGTGCCTTCTAGCACAAGGCAAGCTACTTGCTTGGCAGCTCTTGACCAAATAGTAGTAGCTTTTCAAAACCATGCTGTTAGAAAGAGCATGCTGGTGTAACTGCCAACCGGAAAAGGAAAGGAGGAATAGAACTACAGAGCACAAGAGCTGATGTTCAGGTTTTTGGCACTCTTTTGAACACAGTTCTCATGAAACAAGTTGTTATGGCTTTACTCTGTCTGACAAGGAAGTTAGTGTTTTACTCAACTGGTAAGACTGCTGAAACATTAGCAGAGCTCAATAAGCTGCTGTCTCAAATCCTTTACTTCTAGCAGGAATTTACATGAGACACTCAGCAGGTAAAGTGGCCTGTGTTGTCCTTTCTTAGACTCTGTCCAGGGTTTGCCATTACCTAATGCCTGATGGCTGGCCAACATAATGTGAAGTGGCTGAATAGCTTCCTTCCACTTGGAAACTGTCTTGTATTTTGCATGTTGTACACAGGAGAGATAAAATAACAAGTAATGTTCTACTAAAATTTGATGCTGTCTGTGAGCCCTGGAATGCCAAGACAGAGCACCTCCACTAAATGATGCAATAAACCGAGGAGGAGCTGGAGTCTTGCATCATACTATAGACATGTGCAGCAAATACTAATGCATGAGCTTACACACTTGCCGGCATGCATTACATGGAACAGCTCTGGTTCAGCTGCTGAAGAAGCAGGCTGCTGCTTTTAGTGACAGTTATAACACAGCTCCAAGATAAAGTAGGTTCCCGTGAGGGACAGGGTCATATAATTTCAGAGCTGAAGATACTCTGAAAAATGCACTCTAACTCTAAGCACCATGCAAAAAGCAGTACCTTACTCAAGCATACTAGCAAATCAAGACTGCTACCAGTTGGGAGAAAACAAACTTGATTCCAGAAGGAAGTGATCAATTATCTTGCCCTCTTAGCATCACACTTGATCTACCTTTAATAAGCAAGATTCAGATAAGTAATCACACTTTTTGTGCATACTAAGGAATGTCTCTGGGTGCCCTTGTTTGAGGAGTAACTGAAATAATGAAAATTTCTTCAGCTACAGAACAGATATCTAAGTTATCTTTACAGACATCTTGGGGATTCTGCTGTAGTGTGTTAGCAGAGTACTGAAACCCTAATCCAGCTTGATGTTAGTCAAGTTTAAACCCAGTTTGCTTAAAGTTTGAAAGTTTTGAGAATGCAGTGCTAGGTGCTAGGCAGCAGAAGTCATTGTGTGTGCATATCCCTCTGCCTTGCAAACTTGACCCCGCCTTGAAAAGCAAAACTCGGTAAGAAGAACACTGAGGCTGGTTTACTGTTGTCTGGCAGGTGGACTGTCAGAGTGCTTAAGGTCTGCACTTGTGAGGGAGAGCTGCTGGCTCTACTTTCATGATTGAATCAGGTGACTACAAAGATCTGGTTTCATGATGATGTTATGCTGTTTATTAAGCTGGGTTACTTCTGGATCAGCAGTGGGGGAAAGCAAGAAAGTATTGCTAAACAGTATCAGCGCTTAGGTTGCTTTTTTCATTGAAGGTGCGAGAGCAAAATGTGAGGAATCACAATTCCCATGTAGTAATGGACGCTGTATTCCTTTACTCTGGAAATGTGATGGTGATGAAGACTGTTCAGATGGCAGTGATGAGAGTGCCTGTGGTAAGTAATCAAAATAAATAATATCTCTGTAGTAGTACTTGCTAGTGGGTAGCAGGGGCTTAACGGTGGATAGGTGGAGAGATGCTTATCCCATCCAGCACAGATTCTGACAGGCAGAATACAGAGTAGAAGACAAATTCCCTAGAACAACTGGGGGGCTATCCTGATGCCTTGTATCCATCTAAAGCAGTTGAATTTTCCCAAGTGCTATGAAAGTCTCCTGGAATTTATGACTAAGAGAAAAGCTTGTGACCAAAGCCCTTTATTTGTCAGGGTGGTGAGTGTCAAGAGCAGAATGCAAGCCTAGTCTCAGTTGTTGCTTGAAGACATAGTAGAAAATGCTGGCTATTAGCACTTAGCTGTTGGCTATTCCATGTTTAAATGCCCTGTTTTATGTGTGGAAGATTCTGCTGAGTCTCCTATAAACACTAAGTCTAGCTTTGGCTGCCAACTCTTGCTTTAAGCAAACATGGAGGCCAAGGTGGATGACTAGATGTACTTGCGAGATGAGGCAAAACAGATTCCATATCCAACACTGGTGTGGCTGAACTGCAAGTCTGCTCAAGCAGACTTAAACTGTTACCTTAGCGCTACATAGTACCGTGCTTCTGTAATGACAAATCAAATGCCTTGATAATAAACTCAGAGTTCAAAATCTGAATATTAATATGAACAGACCTGAGTTAAAGTAAGGTCTATTGAAAGCAGCAGCTATTCTAGCAGCATAGTCTCCTTTAACAGCAGCAGTCTTCCAGTGCCTGCTTACAGAAAGATGAATGTTTCTCTGTGCACAGCGTAACTATCTAGGAAGTGTTAAAGAGCACGGTCATTAGGCTGGTGGAGGATGACACCAGATGTCCATAGAACTAAGGATATTGCATCACTTTCCAAGGGCAAGGCAGCTTATGTCTAACTGAAACAAACGAGCTAAGCTCTCGTCTCTGAACAAGTGGCTCTCCTTCTCCCTTGCAGTGAAGAAGACGTGTGCTGAATCTGATTTCGTGTGCGTCAGTGGTCAGTGTGTGCCTAACAGATGGCAGTGTGATGGGGATCCGGACTGCGAGGATGGGTCTGATGAGAGTGCTGAACTGTGCCGTAAGTGAGCCTGGCTGGTTGGTGCAGGCCAGCCTGCGGGGAGTAGCGTTCTGACTTCTTGCCTGCTTGCAGCCTGGCTCTCCTCCTAATGGAAGGATGAACTTGTTGTCTTGGAGAGCACCTTCCTAAGTGCTAGCTTGGCTTTGGCCACACCGAGGTCTTAACAAGACTTTTTACTACTTAAAAAGATGCAGAAGTGGGTGGGGACTCTGCACTTGTACCTGGTAACAGGTAGCAACTATGAGGTTTTACTGCTAGTCAGAAGCAGCAAGCACAACATGGCAGGCCTGACTATTACTGTGCCTTGTTCACCAAGTGATTACTGTCCTCCAAGACAACTACGTTGCAAGATAACCAGAGCTAGTGTAGAAACCGAGTGGCTGACTACATGTTGTGGGGTGGGAAGCAGAAGTGCAGAGGCTTGGCTGTGAGGTCGCACATTAGCGACCCCAGTCTTAGGTGTGGTAACTAATCAAGGAACGTAGATCCGTGAAGCTTCATTTCTCTGTACCAATAGGATCCACGCTGAGGAATACTTCAGCCCCACGTCCTACTGCACTTTGGCATTACTCCTGCCTACTACCACGTGTTTTAGCTCAACCTTCTGCAGTGTAACTGATGTGCAGTCACAAAAACCACCACTACAAAGATACTCTTAAAATACTAATCTATTAGAAGCTGGAAGCATCTTTTTTTACTGAACACTACAAACTAGTGTAACCTCTTCCATGACGGAGCCATCGACTTAGATGGATGCTGGAATCTAATTAAGTGCAACTTTGTCCAGAGCTGAAGCCTTTCAGTCTCAACTTTCAGGACAACTGCTAAACCCCAAGATCAGTAGCTCTTAAATTTCAGAACTTTTAAATTGAACTTAAACTTTTTTCAATAGATATGAGAACATGCCGGGTAAATGAAATCAGCTGTGGTCCTCAGTCAACCCAGTGTATCCCAGTGTCCTGGAAATGTGATGGTGAAAAAGACTGTGACAGTGGAGAAGATGAAGAGAATTGTGGTAAGGGAAGAAACAGTGGCTGCATAACTCTATTTGAAATTGACTTGTCTGGAAAGGAGCTAGCTGGGCAGTATACCTGGGAAGATAAATTTCTCATAGTATCAGTATCTCCTTAAACCTACATCTGTCTTGTATTGCAGCCTGCTTCACAAAGCTGACTTGTTCTCGCACTCCTCTATCCTGCTAAGTTAAGGACTACAGCAATATAAGCTATTCAACATCTATCTTTGGCCGTTGCTGAAATTAGCCAGAGACCATAGGCTTAGTCACATGTCAGGCAAACCATCAGAACTTGTTATCTGCAGAGTTTCTCAACAGGTAACTCTAGTTGTTGCTTACATTAACAAATGGTCTTCTAAAAATGTAGTAGTGACTTGTAGCCAAGGGCACAGCTGATCTGCTTTATAGCTGAAGTATTCTGTGTGCTTGTCTGAAAGTGCAGACTCAGGAAGCTAAGTTTCAGGTGTTGGAAGGCAGCTTTCAGGCTGGTGTGCGAACAAAGCTGGCACTTGCCAGCATTGGAACGCAGCATTCCTGGCTTATTCTAATGAACTTGCATACATATGAGTTGTCTGAGGGGTCCTGAGGCAAATTTGCTGTAACCAAAGGCAGAGGGCTGGCTTCCATCAGAGCCACCTTACCTGGATGTGCTAATGAGACACAGATCTCTAAACTTCTGCTATGTGTCTCTGAAGTCGCTGCCTCACTCAGCAACAAATGCCTTAATCTGACAAGTAAATCTACAGACAGCATTTCTAATGAAGCTGATAAAACTATCAGCCTAGGCATACTGAGCTGCTAGCTACATTGCTATTAAACCAGCATAATTTGTACTGGTGTAAGATGTGTGGGTGTACTTAAATACCACAGGATCAACTGGTGCAAGGTCCTGATCTGTTATCCCCAGTGGTCCAGGCAAATGGGCTGCTGCTGTCCTGGGGACCAGCAGAAAACACTTCAATTTCAAACTACAGTGCATGCTGACCATCTGGCTACCTTGATCTTCGTTCATACTCTAGAGTTAGCAATTCTCTTACCTTCTGTCTCTGGTTCACAGGGTTTGAGCCTGTTTTCTGGAAGGCTCTCTCTCTGAAGCAGAACAGCCCAGCTGCTTCAGAAGGAGGTTATTTTCACTCAGTAGCTCAAAATTGATGCCTCTCACTCATAACACCCAAAGGCAAGGAGGACAGTATGTGTGGGGCCCGAGTGTCCTATAGGTCGTCAGTTAGGTTCTCCTAGAGCCTTGTACAGGATGCTGATCTTCTGTCAGCTAACCGCTGATGAAGAACCTGCAAAGCAAAACACCTTCATACAAAAGTCTGCTGCCTTGTGATTACCTGCTAACCTTTCTTACTCCTGTTACTCCAGGCAATGTGACTTGTAGTCCAGCAGAGTTCACATGCAGTAGTGGGCAGTGCATTTCCAAGAGCTTTGTCTGCAATGGTCAAGATGACTGCAGCGATGGCAGTGATGAACTGGAGTGTGCACCTCCTACCTGTGGAGTTCATGAGTTCCAGTGCAAGAGCTCCACTTGCATCCCCATCAGCTGGGTGTGTGATGATGATGCTGACTGCTCTGACCACTCAGATGAATCTCTAGAGCAATGTGGCCGCCAGCCTGCACCTCCTGTGAAGTGCTCTGCCAGTGAGGTACAATGCGGCTCAGGTGAATGTATCCACAAAAAGTGGCGCTGTGATGGAGATCCTGACTGCAAGGATGGAAGTGATGAAGTCAACTGCCGTAAGTTAACTTGGTACTTCTCTAGGAGGTGCTGGTTGGCTCCTGTTTTATTTTCTTTCCTTCAGCAGACCTCAGGAGTTTAAGTCTGTAATGGCTGTGTCCTCAGCTTCTCGGACCTGCAGACCAGACCAGTTCAGATGTGAAGATGGGAACTGCATCCATGGGAGTAGGCAGTGCAATGGTGTGAGAGACTGTCTGGATGGCACTGATGAAGCAAGTTGTAATAATGGTAAGTGTGGAACAAGGAAGGAATAAAATCTTTGCAGAATATCTGTTGAAGCTGGTAGTTGCCCTCACAATCTTCATAATCTCAGTTATTCAGTGCTCTGGACCTGGCAAATTCAAGTGCAGAAGTGGAGAATGCATAGATATCAATAAAGTGTGTAACCAGCAGAGAGACTGCAAGGACTGGAGTGATGAGCCTCTCAAGGAATGTAGTAAGTGAACAAACTCATTAAACAATGCTGACTGCTAGACGTACTTGGATACAGCCTCTGAGCTGTCAGGTGTCAGTCTGGAATGCCCATCTGCGCTTTCTTGGTGGTAAAAAAACCAACCGAGAGCAACCTAGTCAATAGGCTACTTTTATCCTAGCCAAACTGGCTACTGGGATGATTCTCCTTGGCCAGAAGGCGCTTGAAGGTGTTGGAAACTGAAACTTCCAGGAGCCTCAGTCTTTGTCTGGTGTTGCCAACTTGTAACACAAGTAACATGCTGATTGCTGAGCAAATTTGGATTTGAGGAGGGTCCCTTGCATGTGACTTTGAGTGCTGGAGTGGTTTATCAGATGTGGCAGGCATCATTAAAAAAACAGATGGGTATCTGGTAAAGCACTCTGTGTCTAAGACTTTAAGACTGAGTATGTGCGCTGTCTCAGAAGTGGCCAATTCTTCTCTTCTAGACATAAATGAATGTCTGGTGAACAATGGCGGATGCTCTCATATATGCAGAGATCTTGTTGTTGGCTATGAATGTGACTGTCCGGCTGGGTTTGAGCTTATAGACAGGAGAACCTGTGGAGGCAAGTATTAAGTAGGTTAACATGGACCATACTAATGGTATTGGAGATGAGAACAAATTAAATTGTTGTTTTTACAGATATTGATGAATGCCAGAACCCTGGTATCTGTAGTCAAATCTGTATCAACCTGAAAGGGGGCTACAAATGTGAATGTAGCCGTGGCTATCAGATGGATCTTGCTACTGGGGTGTGCAAGGCAGTGGGTGAGTATTGGCATAAGACTTCCATATCCCCACTTTAAAATGAGGTAGCAAGTGATGTTCTGTTAATACTATTGTGCTTTTGACACTAGTTGTTGTGCTGTTATCAGTGTAACTTGTACAGACCAGAACACTCCTAACACTGAACAATGCAATGATACAGTTCTTAAAGCTGCATGACATAAACTGCTTGTGTCTGCTCCCTGGGCAGGAGGACCCTCCCCATCAAGTTGTGGAGGGAGAAAAGGATGAGGTATGGTACGGCCAAGACCTCTGTCAGCATCTGCTAGCAAGTGTAGAATGGCAAATACTGAATATGATGACTCTTAAACATGTCCAGAACTACAGATCACCCTTATTTTTGCAGGGAAAGAACCATGTCTAATTTTCACCAACCGCCGGGATATCAGGAAGATCGGCCTTGAGAGGAAAGAATACATTCAGCTAGTAGAGCAGCTAAGAAACACTGTAGCTCTAGATGCTGATATTGCTGAGCAAAAGCTTTACTGGGCTGACTTCAGCCAAAAAGCAATCTTCAGGTAAACGGACTGAGATCTGTGTGCAGTATTTGCTGAGGCATGCCAAGTGGCGGTACCTGTGGAGGAAGGGGTTGAAAGCAAGTAATTCTTGTCTTCCAGTGCCTCTGTTGATACCCGTGATAAAGTTGGAACACATGTCAGAATCCTGGACAACATACACAGCCCTGCAGGAATTGCTGTTGACTGGGTTTATAAGAACATCTACTGGTCTGACTCAACGGCAAAGACCATTTCAGTGGCCAGCCTAGATGGCACAAAAAGAAAAGTTTTGTTTCTCTCTGAGCTGAGAGAGCCAGCTTCTATTGCTGTAGATCCTCTCTCTGGGTGAGTATTTGTCCTGGTTCTCTTGAAAGAGCAGGCCTACCAGCTACTCCATGTCCTGATAACTGACTTAGATAGCCTGTGGTAGTTATCGGTTGTAATTAAGAGTGATACTACACGGTACTATAGTGCATCATACAACATAAATTCTGCTTCACAGCTTTATGTACTGGTCAGACTGGGGTGAGCCAGCAATCCAATGGCCTAATGGAATTGCTCTAGGTATGTTGAACTTGTCTCTGTGCCAGAGGTATTCTGGAGCTTTAGCAATTTGTTTGCTACAAAAGCCAAGGTCATCCTTCAGAGAACTATTTTCAGCTTCTGAGAATGGGAAATTCCTGTGTGCCTGGAGACACGGCAACAGAGAGCACTTCTCAGATACTGAAATGTCAACTTTCTTGCACTGTTCTATATTACAGTTGAGGCACAGGCCACTTAGGCAGCACTGCAGCAGCCTTCTGCATCCTGGTGTGCTAAGAAACTAGGACAAGACTGCAACTATTCTTGAACCTGTGGGTGTTTCAACTTTTGCAGGAGGCTTTGAAGGTTTTCTCTATGTAGATAGTAAATATGTTTGGTTTTTCCTCCTAGATCTTGTAAAAAGCCGTCTGTACTGGCTTGATTCTAAACTACATATGCTGTCAAGTGTGGACTTGAATGGCCAGGACCGTAGAATTGTGCTGAAGTCTCATATGTTCCTTCCTCATCCTCTTGCTCTCACAATATTTGAGGTAAGAATGACTTCCTATAGTAATTGTCAAAGATCCTCTTCTTGCTAGTATGTGGCTAGCAGTTATGGTGCTGACAGCAGCACAGCAGTAATGGGATGCAATGGGTCTGTCTTCTAGGACCGTGTGTACTGGATTGATGGAGAGAATGAGGCGGTCTATGGTGCCAACAAATTTACTGGATCTGAATTGGTTACTCTAGTGAACAACCTCAATGATGCACAGGACATCATTGTGTATCATGAACTTGTTCAGCCTTCAGGTAACTCTAATACAGTTTTATAATTATGTCAGCGTATACTTGTAAGAAGCCTGCCCTGCTTGGGTGGTGGCAAATGGTATCCCTCCCCTGTGTAGCTGTGCACTTCTACTTAGAGTGCTTCTAACATAGGCACCCACACTGGGATTGACAGAAGGTCTAGGTGCTCTTTCTTAGGCATCGCAGGTATGAATTTATAACCTGCAGAGACAAGTGGCTCTACTAGAGCAATTATTCCAGGTGTAGAGCATAATTATTGGCTCAATATGAAGGCTCACTCTTGTCAACTGCTGTACCAACAGGCAGGAACTGGTGTGAAGAAAACATGGCAAATGGAGGCTGTAGCTACCTGTGCCTGCCTGCTCCTCAGATAAATGAACACTCTCCTAAGTATACCTGTGCCTGTCCTGTTGGATACTTCTTGCAAGAGGATGGTCTGAGATGTGCAGGTATGGTAGCATGACAAATCTTTTCCAGGGTGGATGGGGAAGGAGTAGGGATACCGAGCCTGTTGGAGGCAAATATGGCAGTATAGGCTGACAGGTTTGCATGAGTTAATCTGATTTAATTAATCTTGGCGGGGGTGGTCTTCTAGCATGCGTTAAGCTGGTCCTCAAAGTCTGCAGGTGCTGTTCAAAGTCCATGCTTGGCTTCTGCATCATCATCATCATTTGCAACAAGACCTTGTACCTCCATGGCTTTCTGCAGACAGCAAGCACATGCACAAAACATACAGAGCCCCTTTCTTAGAAAACAAGGGGTATAAACTAACATGGGTCTACAGTGTATAAATGCAGTGTTGAAAGTTAGGCTAATCTTGCTGGCCAAGGAAGTTTGTTTGGACCTTCTTTTGTGGTCCAAACAAACATGCTGCTGCTACTGCCCTGAGCACTGGCTGTTTGGCAGGCTTTGTCCAGTGGCGTGGAACTAGAAACTCCAAGGCGCCACTTACTATACTGCATGTTGATTCTGACTGCCACAATTAGAATATTGAATGTGAGGACACTGTCCTTGGTTGGCTGCTCCAAAGGGTTGCTTATAGGTATCAAAGACTCTGCCTAACCAGTACACTTGTGGAACTAGAGTCTCTCTTGGAAAACTTGAAGGGATGGGGTGGCTTACTGTTGTCAAGACTCTAAATAGCCGTAGTTCATGCCTAGTTAATTGTCTAGCCTTGTTCTTGGAATTATTTTTCATCAAAACACCTCAGCTGAGGGTGTGCTAGTGAAATAACTATGTCAGTGTTTCAAATAAAGCTAACAAGCTGCATGATCATTCTGCCATCTGCTATACATTCACTACCATGGCTCTCATAGCTAAGCCATTGCAGAACTTCAGGATTAACTGGGTTATTGATCTATAATTAGTTTCAGGTACTGGAACAACTGTGGCTTACAATGAGGCTAAAGATACCAGCACAACAGAAAAATCTCCAACTGTTGGACTAGTTCCTGGAGGTACTGGTCCCAATAACTCAGACTGCTAAACATTAGAGAAATTAAATGCAAACTGACCCACTAGCCTATTTGAAGTCTTTTTCCTTTGCATGCAAGTAGAGAACACAGGCCAGGTCATGTGTAGTACATGTACAACAGCTGGAGTGTGTGGTAAAGCAGAATTAGTTCACTTATGACAGTGTGGAACCTATAGGTTCCTTGTAATCCCAGGAGTGCTCAGAAAAGGCAAGCAATTAAAAAAGTTTTCCACTAATACAGGATAAAGCCTGTTAGGCTGTTGTTGCAGTGTGTTACTGAGAATCTAATATATGATAGCAGCTTCTGGGCTTGGGAAGTACTTGCATCTGACAAAGTCTGCCAGCCTGTCACTAAGCAAGCTCACTACTTCAAATTCTTGTGCAGGATTCAACATCACTGGTACAACATCTGAAGTAGCTTCAAGTGGAGGAACATCAGCAGCTTGGACTGTTCTTCCTGTCTGTGAGTACAGCATTCCTTAACCTTTGGGACCCCTTGTGGTGGGACAAGCCACTCTTGTCAGGAGCCTGACTTGACCCTACTCCATAACTTGCAATCTGTTTCTCTCCCTAAAGTGTTGCTAGTGATGGCTGCAGTGGCTGGCTACTTCATGTGGCGTAACTGGCAGCACAAGAACATGAAAAGCATGAATTTTGATAATCCTGTCTACCTGAAAACTACAGAAGAGGACCTCACAATTGATATTGGAAGGTAAACCTCTTGATGTGGCTGAGGCTCCAGGTTAATCCTCAGAGTAGACATAGAGACTGCCAGATGATACCTGACTTGAATTTAGGAGAGGTATCTGCTCTTGATAGCTGCTGGCTGCAGCCAAACTATTGGGCTGAATCAGCTGAGAACTTGGCCATTTAATCAAGTTTAAAGTTATAGTTGGCAACTACTATCCTATACCTGGGATGGAGTAATCAGTCCTGGGTGTGGTCACTAGTCTGCAGAACGAGCCCCTGTTTCAAACTGCTACGTAGTGATGATATGCATTGTTTTGTATCTTTTATTAATACAGTTATAGCTAACTTGTACTTATTTTGTACAGATATCTGTTGTAAGCACAGATGATGATATGGTGTGAGCACTGGATCAGCAATTACTTCAGTTTACTTGTGTTTTACACTCTTTGGGGATAGTAACCAGGTTTGTGGCTGAAAGACTTCCTCCATTCTTGGAAGAAAGAAGATACTTTCTGTATGTATGGAACACTTATGTAAATAGCTATTTTATACAGCTTAACAACAAACTCTGTAAATACCTGTCCACAACAATTCAGCTTTTTGTGGTTACTGTTTTATCAGTAACCTTTGGATTGGTCAGTCAGTAACACCACTGACCAAATATAAAGCACTTTCCATAGAAAGCCATATTCCAGCCACAACTTGTAACACCTGTACATATGTGTATATGCCACTTGTAAATATTATTCTTGGAAAATCACTATCAAGCACTTTGAAATACTTCAAATGTAAATTATTGTACACTGTCTTTTTCAATGATTGGGGCAATGGCAATAGGAAAAAACGGGTTACTATGATTGCCAAAAATTTGTAAACATAAGTAATTTTGTATGTACGACTGAAACAATCTTGGTGGTTACCTCTTAGAGGTACACAGCTATGAAGGCTCTTTAAGAAACCACTGTAAATCTTAAACACAGAGGAGGGGAAAAATAAAAAAAATAAACACTTAAAGTATTGGCCTCCATTATTATGTTAGCACTGAAGTAAAAAGAGTATATCCTAAGTTGAAGCTTTAGTGGGCTACAGTACTGCCACCAGCCAGAACATGGAAGTATTTCTGAAGTTACTTCGGCAGTACCAACCTGCCAGGTGACTGAGGCTTGTGCTTGAGACTAATGCTCTGCAGGGTACTGGACTGATTGGATCTCCCTTCATAGGAGTCCAGCTGGACTACTATGTTAGGATTGACAGTGGATAGAAATACTGAACTCCTATTGCAAGCTCTTAAGAGGTAGCATTGACAGAGATGCTACGTGGAGGCAGGCCAAAGCACCGTCTGCCAAGGAAGTGTGAAGTCCTTAGCAAAGGATGTTATGCACAAGTGCTCAGTGGTATCATACTGTTATCAGTTATCCCTCATGACAATACCAGTGCAAGCTGGATCTTGGTAGCTGCTACACCTGTACAAAGGAATAGCAGAGCTCTGACTTGGCAGCTAATCGTGGCAGCCTGCTCCTGGAGTCTTGGTGCTGAAAAGCCCCTGTTGCTACATGTGTAATGACAAGAAGTCCCCAGCAATGAGTGTCAATGAGCTAGTGTCCCCTTCCCTGGGGGAACTTAGTTCACTGTAATGGCTCTAAGATATGGATCACTTGAAGTGCTGGAGCCTTTCTCTTGGGTGACCATAGGACTGAAAGAAATTGTACAACTGCTGTGGGTTTGGGGAGGTGATACTCATCTCTATGATAACTGTTTAGTACAGTACTACTTGAGTGCTACCTTTGGTAGCAGCAAGTATATTCCTCACCCACTGTACATGTATAGTTCATTCATGCAATAGAGAAGCATTAAGACTGAATTAACTTGCAGGTTCTGTGATCTTCAGGCACAAGTTTTGAGTCTGAGGAAGCTTTCAGTCTTTATGGCATAACTACTTGGTAGTTTTCCACTGAGTAAAAGGTAGCTTCCCTGCCCATTAGTAGTTTCCTTAATGACAAATTATTTTTCTGGGATAAAGTCATGGTTTCTCCTCTGACAGTGCAGGATCTTGGCCTTGAATTGCCACCCCATAACTACTGTAGCAGGAGGTGCTGCTTCACTATTGCTAATCCTTCCCCCTTCAAGGTGAAAAAGAAATTACTTCTGACTGCATGCAAGTTCAAGGCTAAGACATAGTTTGAAAGAAGCAAAAAATCTCCTGGCTGTGCTTCAGTGATGACTTGTCAAATCATTCCAAATCAGTCATGTCTCTAAAATGGTGACAATAAAAATCATCGAGTCAGAACTTGGATCAGTTCCTGGGCCTGGTTCTAATGCCTGTTCTTATTGCAGTTACGGCTGGGGTCTGCTTTCTTAATGGTCTTCTGTGTATTGTGGACTCCTTTCTTGACAGATGAGGGCAGCTGCCAACTTCTGCAGATTTAAAATAAGTTGTTTCTAGCAAGCTCACTACTCCTTGGGGAGTTGAAGCTTCTAGCCAGCTATCCCTGGCAACTCTTGTCTGTCTGTAGATGCTTTCAGTATCTGGAATGCATGTGGACTAAAATGTTGTGCAAAGATTAGGATGTAAGGAAACCTCTGAAGTTTCTGTCCAAGAATACTCTGTCTATTTTGCTGAGTACTTTCCAGGATAAAGTGCCTTTCATATCAGCCTAGTATGTGAGGATTATTAGTCATTGGGTAGAATTCAAATTTTTCAGTTAGATGTCTAAACTGGGATACTACAAAGTATTTGTGTTGGAATGTGACAAAACCTAAAACATAATTCTCAGTCAGCTTGTTGGTTATAAACTTTCATGGCAGCTAAATACAGGCAAAATGCTCTGCCTCTTTAGTCTTTGTACAGAAGATGAACAGCTCTGTTTTTTTTTTTTTTTGCTAAAGTTCGTTGCTATCATCTGTATCGTACCAAATGGCATATGGAGTAGACCAATAAAGGCGCTCCTTCCTGAGGTTGACTTTCAGTTGAAGCAGCAACTTAAATCTATTTTGGGAACCTGAGTTAGTTCTTACAGAAGCTGTTGGCTCTTGGAACTTGTTTTCTGACTTCAGTCCAATGTGCTGAACAAAGTTGTCAGACTAGCACCTTGTCACACAGAAGTCTATAGGAGACTTAAACACTTTACCAGCTAAAACTTCTATGCCTTCAAATAGCTTGAGGGAGGAGAAGTGGGGAGTATCAGGCAGTAGCAGAAGATGATGTAAGATGGTCTGTACTTACTTGCAGATAACTGTTTGGCTCTTAATCTCACGAGGTTTATTCTGCCCTGTACCTCTTTGAATTTGTGTTATGAAATTGCTCTTTACTTCCACAGCAGGCTTGGAGAGTAGTCAGGGATTCCTTCTGTAAAAACAGATCCAACTTGCATAGACAAATGCCTTACTATCTTTGAACAATTTTTTTTTCTCCTGCCATCTGCAAGTGTTTGACTCTGTTTTATTGCTCTGTCATGTGACTCTTTTGGCATCTAACAAAGATGGTGTAGCTGTAGTGAGCACTCCTCCAGCAGCAGCAGCCTTTGGCTGTGCTGGTGGCCATTAAGTGAATTCTCAGAAATCATCTTTGTCTCAGCTCCTCTGCTGCAGTCTCACGGGTTCTCAGAGCAATGGGACATTAATAACCTGTTTGGTCAGGTTTTGCTGTTAAGTTGGCTTTGTTTTCCTCTTGAAGAACTTGCTGCTAGCAGATACATAAATATGGCTTTAGTTGGTTATTGAAGTAGCGTTCAAGGTAACAGCACAATTTTGTTTCCCAGCTGAATGCAAAGCTCTCTGGTTCTAAATACTGCCTGTTTCTGTTCAGTGTCTGCTAGCCAGTGTGAGTGCAAAGCTACTTTGGAAACTGGCTTTTTCTCTCCCTTACAAATACTCAAATGTCTTAGTACTTTCCCTCTATTCCCACATTCTTTTCTTCCCCCTAGTTGATCTGCCTTTGAGTAATAATGCCAGCAAAAACAAAGGAAAATGAACATACAGGGAGTTGAAGTTGCTCATGTGATTCACTTCTTCCCCTTCTGTACCTCATTCCTCTGCAGATAACTGCAGTTTGCCTTTTCCCAGCCCAGCCTGCATTTGCTTATGCTTTTAATGGATATACCTTTTTTTTTCCTATCAGATCTTTGCTGAACAGTGAAGATCCATTTATTTTTATGTAAGTGCTGAACCTTGCTAGATTAGGGAAAAGGGACAGAGACAAGGACACATGCTGGAAGAAATAGGACAGGAGACCTCCGATAAAGGAAAAACGCTTACAGCTACAGCAGCAGTCTTCGCTCCGTAGCGTTGGATGCAAGTGAAGGCCTGTCAGTACTTTCTGTAGATAGGCTACTACATGTCTGTGAAGAAACATGCTCCTGTTCCTCCTCTGAGCTGGCTCACAACAATGGTTGGTATTGTCACTTACTGGAAGAAGGTGCTTGAAGAGGTCTGCTCTCTTGAAGTGCAAAAGACAACTTAATCCATTTATGGCTTCCTGGTTTTCACTTTTTTCCTACTTAAAAAGCTTCACAATTTGCCCATATCAAATGAAAAATTCTTAAGAGCAGGGGAGAGACAGAGAGGCTGTGAAATCACCGTTAAGCTGCTGAATGCCTGCCTGTGGAAAGGATGGTCCTAATTCTCCCTTGCACAGCCATGGTCAGGGCACTTACATGCCTCTGTCAAGCAATGGAAAATGCTTCATACCATACATGGGGAAGAAAAAAAAACAAGCACCACAACCTGAACAGACTATTGAAGGCTAACTGAACTAAGACACTTATTGGTCTATAATGAATTGCTTGAACATAGGAAACTCTAAGCACTAAATCAAGACAAATAACTAGTAAAACCAAATAGTAGAAATACTTTTTTTTTTTTTGCTGTGGAGATGTCCTCTGTAGAAAAACTAAGGAGTTTTCAGGTCCTTTTTCCCCCACCTTCCCTAGATATGCTTGCTTAGAGTCAAATTTCAAAATACATGGGAATGGAAATGTTTTATTGTATTGTCAGTGCATAGATTTAAAGCTCAAATATTTGGATTGCA